ATTAAAGGTGTGTGCCTGGCTTCTAGGGCTTGTGGCTGACTTTGCTTTTCTGAATCCTTAGTCAAACTTTAATAAGTCATAACTATATCCCTACAACATGGTGTGTCTTTTAGACTGCCCACATTGGGTAGTGCCTGAAGTTACCAAAGAAGCAGAACTTTTCCAAGATTTGAGCACTGACCTCACAAGTTTTCTGCTGCTTAAGCATTCGGGGCATTTGTGAACAGCAAGATATTGCAGAAAAAGTATCCTGTCAGGGAGATGCCTCTCATTGCTCTTCCAGAGGACCTGAGTTTAGTTCCTAGCACCCACCTGGATTTTCTACCTGAAAAGCCACCTGACACATAGAACACACTAAATACCCAGTAAGAACCAGATGTGTTTACCAAGCACTCATTCTGTGAGAACCAAGGTGTCCCAGGAGCAATTCTTTAGGAGGATATAGTGATTAGGACTGTGTAGGTATGGTCCCTCAGATATCCCCCATATCTTTGTGTCTCAGGGTGTCTCTACCATTATGTGCCCTGGTACGACATGAAGCCTGTGGTGGCTGTGACCTCCAAATGGGAGGATGTCAACTTCCGGATAAATTGCCTCAACCTCCTCCACGTCACCCGGGATCACCTGGTGAGTGTGCAGGAGGGAGCGGGGTGGGGGGGGATGGATGGGAGGCTTAGGAACATACACCACAGAACTAGGAAACCATGCATACCTCTCACTTTTATACCCCATGATAGTGGGAGCCCACATCATTGAGAACTATGCCAGATACAGCACTGGGCACTAAAGACACAAAGACAATCAACACATGCTTGGCCTCTCTGGCTGAAGAAGTCAGAGATGTACAGTTACTGTGCAGTGCAGCTAGGGCTACCGTGGAAATACAGGTGTCAGATTTAGGATCAGGGAGACGGGATGGGGAGGGAAGAAAAGAGCAGTCAGGAGGTGACAGAGCAGTGGCAATTTGGGGGGATGGAAACACAAAGGGAATGATATGTGTAAAGTCACAGTGATGTGATGGCTTTATAAGCCGTGAGAGGAACCAGGGCCATAAAGGTATCATGGAAGTTAGAGAGGCCAGGAAGGGTCATAGAACAGAGTCTTGGGTTCTTGTCAAGGAGCACAGATGTCAGAAGATGTTTATACATAGCATCTCTGCTCTGGTCATGACTTCCTCATGTCCTCGGATGGACTTCTGCATGTTTCTATCCCCTGCCATCCATTCTCTCTGCTGGGTACAGGAAGTAAGGAAGAAAGGTTGCGCTAGCTATGTGAGGACATGTGGCAGTCTGAAATTAACACCAGATTACTCCTTAAATGTCTATAGGGCCTGCCAGTCCTTAAACCTATCCCAGGAGAGCTCCAGACTAAGGTTGGTAATCTCCCTTTCTCTCAATGGACAGAAAGCCAACCTGGACACCCTGAAGTCCATACAGAATCCAAAGGACCCAGCTCTGTTCCAGCAGTGGGAGAAACTGCTAAAGGATCTGATACAGGACTGCCTGTAGGAGCTGAGGACCCTGGCTGGGGCTGGCCTTGGGATGAGCTAAGGAAGACTTAAAAGGGAAACTGGAGGCTCTGAGTAGCACCCAAAGGGCCCCTTCCCCACAGGAACACTGTTCAAACCTCCTCCAGCTTGCACCTACACACAACTGCATTTCCTGCCCATGTAGAACAGCCCTGAACTCCAGCCCAGCACAGGCTTTGCTGCTCCGTGTCCACACGCAACGCCTGTAGCTATGGGCAGATCTTCATTATCTATACCAGCCCACACTATTCTCATCCCACGTCTCTTGCCATTGCTTATCCCATCCAGAATGCCTGTTTCAAGCTCATGGGGAAGCATCTCCCTGCCCCCCCCACCACGTTTTGGCTATCTTCTTCCCTGGACAACATCTACCCACAAGAGGTCTTTGGGAACCAACCTAGCATGCTGTGGGGCTTCAAAGATGGGAAAGGGCTGGGTGAGAGCCTGAGTCAGGCCCCACAGCAAGCCAGCTTCCCAAGCTAGGCAGCTTTCTCCATGTCAGGCCAGCCATGGGTGGGATAGAGTCTCCAGGCTAGGAAGGGAACATTGGCCTGCAGAAATAGACATACCCTCCCTATTAACTTGTCCCAGCCACAGGCACCCTCTGCCTTGTATGACTGATCAGCCCAAAGCTAACAACTTGGACAAGAAAAAATGGCAGCTTCGCAACCGTCTTCTGAAGCAACTAGCACAGAATGCCAAGGATGCCAAGCCAAAGAACATGGTGGTCACCGCAGAGGACTGGCTGCACCGTCTCAACTCTGTGATCCCTGAGGTGGGCACTGGACACACTGGCTGGACAGTGAGGCTTGGATCTACCCAGATGGTCCTGATGCTCTCCTTTCTTGACAGCCCCAGGATAGCCTTCCTGATGTGATGATCTGGCTGATGTCCAAGCAGCAGCGAGTGGCCTATGCTCGGGTGCCTGCCCACACTGTCCTGTTCTCCCCAGAAGGACCCCTGAGCTCTGGCAAGTTCTGTGGGAAGATTCAGAACCTCTTCTTACAGGTAGGGAGAGTCTTTTGGGAAGGATGGGGTTCCCAAATTCCCAGAGAGAACCCCTTGGGACCTCCCTGAGAACATGGGCCACATGTTATTTCCCTGGCCCTGCATTAAGTAGCATAGAACTCAAAGTCCCTAGAGGAAGGCAAGGCCTGCACTTCTCAGCATGTGAGATTTTGCCAAGCCCACATCTGTGGTAAACACTCCTCAAATCACTCCATCACTCCCATGCCTACCACTTGGTCTAATACCTTGTCATCTCTCCTGTGAGACACAACTGGATAACTTCCAGAATATTCAATGACTGTAAGATTTGGAACCAGCTCCTCAGATCAGAAGTAAGCTATAACATAAGACTGACTGAACCCCCAAAGATAGCCTTCTCTCTTGGAAAGAAGAAGGGTCTTCTTAGCCCCTTCATGACTCCCATTGCCTCTCAGGGAAGATGCAGGCTCCCTGGCCTGCCCTATCCACCTGTATCAACCAGGCCACTCTGGGCCTCCCTGACCCTGAACATGCCTGCACTCTGACCTTTCCACCATCATGCAAAGCCCTTCCTCCTGTCTTCGTCCAGTTCCTGACTGCACCTGGCCTTAGGGCGTTAATCATTCCGGTGCTTGGTGACACCCTCATGTGGGGTATAAGGACTGAGGTACTTAGCAAAGTGCTGGTGCACATTGATCCAGCAGCAGGCAGTAAATAGTTAGCTAGTACCACCAAAGCCACCATTATCACCTTCTTCTGACTGCCACACACCCCTCCTCTTTCCTATGTGCCTGTTGTCTCCCTCTGAGGACAATGGGGCAGAATTCCATAACTTCTCAGTGCTGGTTATCAACCTGGAGCTTTATACCATTGTAGACTCTTTGACTCCAGTTTGACAAAGTTTGATGTGAGGGCCCTGCTCCCAGAACAAAAAAAAAGAGTGGGGGTGGATGTAACCCATTCTGGCACCCTCACCCTCTCCCTCACCCATACCCCTGTCCCCCTGGGGAGTGTCACCCCCATGGCACACTCATGGGATTGATCTGCCTCTGGCTCAGTATCCAGAAGGTGAAGGACAGGACACATTACCAGCTTACCTCCGGGTCTGCATGTGGCTTGGCAATGTCATTCACAGCAAGGATCTGAAGCTGCTCGAGCATGGCAAAATGGTGGTGTATGCAGAGACGGTGAGTGAAGATGCAGGGCATTTGGAGGGTAGGGTAGAAGGTTAGCCAGGTCAGGGTCAAGCCAGGGAAGAGCAGGCCTGACAGTCAGACATGCAGAAGAGAAGACGAAGAGACAACAGTTCAGACCCAAAGTTGAGGTGGACACCGACCACATCTGAAGACTATGAGAGAGCTCTGAAATGAAATCAATGGTGGATGGCGTTATTAGTTTAGCATCCCTGCTCACAAGCCTTAGGCATGTGCTAATAAAATGGTGCCTGAATGGCCCTTTGGTACCTGGTCACACTGTTCCTGGTGGAAGTTTATTGAGAGTTTTCTCCTAGCTTGCCAAAGGCATGTGAACAGATCAGGACTCCAAATTGTATAGTGTCTCATTTGTTGCAGCTTAGGACCCCTGCAGACCATAGTCAGTCCTTCGGGCTAGACTGGAGGTCATGGGAGGTGGGGAAAGGCCAGTACATGTGAAAGGAGCAGGAGATGAGGTCACAGAGCATCAACCTGGGATTCAGGGAGAACAGCTGGGCAGACTGCTCTGTAGAGGGCAAGGGATGCCGCTTGCTCTTTGGAAGAGGGCTGGCCCAGGAAAATAGCTCTGCCAGCAGAAAGGCAGTAAGGTTTGTGTGTTGGGTTATTATTCGACCTTTTCTGGGGATATGTGAACAAATGTTTACCAACCTCAGATAGGTGACCCATAACAGAGTAAAGGAACAGTTCCATCCAGCTTGGGGAACCAAGTTCAAGTGGGGTTACTTACAAAAGCATGGGCAATGTACAGACATCTCTACCATCAGAGAAGTCTTCTCCCAGCAATTGTTAACTGCTTATATGTTGGGGAGGAGAGGAGCCCCTTGAGCCTTGTAAGCTATTTATGTACTCCAAAGAATAGGTGGTCCCATCTTGCAAAGGCTTCCTATGGGTAGTCACAACTGACGTGATTTCAGGACAGCAATGGCCATGTCAAGTCTGGAAGACAGAATTCCTCAATACAGGCCTTTTAAGTTACAGAATTCTAACAGGAGAAGTGCTGAGATTTCAACATTGGCCTGGGCTACATAAAGAGTACCAGGCTAACCTGGGCTATTTCAATAAAGAAAAAAGTGGATTTAAAACATTGTTATGTTTTAAGTTGCATGTGTTGATAACATACCATAATACAGTCAGCTCCCCCTTCAACTGTATCTCCATTTATGTGCTGAACCAACAGCGGCTTGAAAGTGCAGTTAGTTAAGTTCATGATGGCTGCATCTATACCAAAAGTGTACATACCTTTTTCCTTGTCACTATGACCTTAAGAATACACTAGAGCCAGGTGGTGATGGCACACGCCTTTAATCCCAGCATGTGGGAGGCAGATCTCTGTGATTTTGAGGCCAGCCTGGTCTATAGAGTAAGTTCCAGGACAGGCTCCAAAGCTA